AAGGTGTTCAGGAAGAACAACGATGAGAAACCCTCAGGACCCAGCCCAACAGTCTTCCAGCCTCCCTCGGTCTTGGTCGATCCTCCACAGGACTCCGCTGCGCAATGCAATCACGCAAGCAACTCCTCCCTGGAAGCCTTATCCGTGGAAGGCTTTGACAAGAAGCTAGACGTCGGACTCGGAGAAATGTGTAGGAGTCGCAGCAAATCTTTCAGCAACACTAGGACGAAATAGACAAACTGCTCCTCTATTTAACTTTTTTTTTAACCCTGCGGAGTACCAAATTTCTACCCACAGGCCTGCCACAATCCCCTGAATCCTCTTTCTTTCCTACACAAAAGTGGCGCTCTTGAACATGACTAAATTAGCTATAATAACCACAGTTCTATTTTCTTCTTTTGTTTGAGGTCAACCACTCCACCCCTCCTCCACTTGTTCACCGCCATCTTCCGTGTAAACTGTAAATGTAACATAACATACAGTGACTCTTTATTTTTTATTTTTTTGTTGTTGCTGTTTATAGTGTAATGGATTTTCATAAACATAACCTTATATGATCCATCCTCATAAGGAATGAAAGGCACAATGAAAATAGCAGGCAGTACGTATCAATCTGTCAGTATTCAGTTTATATATCTCCAGTTGTTCCGTGACCCAAACTCGTTTGTCACGGTAGGGTATTGGTCGCAAGTAGTCCATTGGCCGTCAACTACAAAACAAAATTCATAACGTCCCGGTGGTATATCCACCCAGACGCCAAATTTGCACTGATCTTCATCGAACTTGTCGCACGTCAGCGAACATTCCCAATTCACAAAGCTCGCCTGAAGATAAGCGTAAAATGCACAGAAAAAAGCCAACCCAATACAACGTGAAAGGAACTGACGTTCCGCCTGGTCCCCTACTTTTTTTCCTTTAGTAAACGCTTCGCGCAGTACTGTACCACACAGTTGGTACGTTAAGGCGACGGGACTTAAAAAATCTTTTGAAAAAGATTTTAAAAAAGTAGGGGGTGTGCTTTGAAACATACCGATAACAAAACCACTTTAGCATTTGGAGCGGCTATTTCGAACCACACTCGTCTATATTCTTGAAGATCCACCGGTGAATCATCCGTCCTATAGTATTTATTATATAATAAGTCAGCACTAGCATGCACATTCTCCTTTTTAACTAGCGGAAGGGGACAGGTGAAGTTAGCCATCAAAAACTTTGGATTTCCTACCGGCCGGGATGGCTTAACAGCCTTAATTTTCAAATAACGATGAATCAAGTGATGCCTTTTAGCATTCATAATAAAGCAGTTATTTGACTCAGTCACAGCCAAGACTCAAAAAAACTACTGCTTGGTGGCACATCAAGCTCCCACTCTTTCACGACCGCAGACAATACCATTAAAAAGTACCACATAGCTAGCCGCCACTTTGTTCTTTCACCAACAGCTTGCTTCTTTATCAAGAAAGTCCCACACAATTTATCTTTAGCCAGATCACGGAAATGTCGCAATCTGTTTAGTCTGAAACTAGATTTAGTTAAAGAAATAACAGCCAAAACAGGCGGTAACGAAATGACGCTGAGGGAGACAGGCAACAGCGCATTATTATACAAAGTAAACACCTACTCTTCTTCTAACTCATAGGCCTTCTTGTTAGCTTGATCCAGCATCCACTGATGATGACTCAAGCCCGCTTCCAACTCGCCACACCTGAAAGCAGACGGGTAATATGTCAGTTAAGAAGTTTCTACGCGAAATCAAATACTTTGAAAGCTGGGCCCCAAAAACTAATTTTCTTATGAAACCGAAATCCTATGAGTCAAAAACAAACCTCCACTTCGCATCATTCCACCACTGTTTGACTTCCCCAAGGTGCCACTCAACCACGCTCTTTTCCTCCAGTAACTTTCGCTCCTGTTCCCTCATTTGGTTCTTCAAGGCTTCAAATTTTGAGTAATCAACACCGCCAGTCTCATTTAACTAGAAATTTGCACTCTTTGAAATCTCGTCTTCCACCTTACACTCAAATCAAGTCAAGGAACCGCTCGGGCAAGAAGAACGCAGCTAACCCTTCGTTTCTCTTCTTCCATTTGATCCCTAAGACGCTGACACTCTCCTCTTTCCCAATTAAGTTGACCATGCAAGTCACCGAGTTCCCCATCCTGCCTGGCTACACGTTCCTTTGCAAGCCATAACTCTTCTCCCATTTTATGGTTCTCCTCTTCTAACCGGGCACATCGTTCTACTGAAGTACTCAGTTCGCGTTCTCTTTCTTTCAACTGAAAAAAGCTCCTCGCATATAATTCCCGGAAAAATGCCTGCAGGAAATTTGTCGTTACCTGTTTACTTCCAACGCAGCCACCTATTAGACTGAGAGGGCAAATAAGTAAAAAAACAAAATACCACTTTTCCGGTACATGCAGCTGCTGCTCTTCATATTTAGAATATTTAGAATAGATGTCAAAAATGGAGAAAATGTATTTAAATTTACCAGTTCCTCCTTCTCGTAAACCTTTTTGCTAACTTTAATTAATTCTTCTGTAAAATCGTCACCTTCAGCGGACATCGAAGTCTCAATGCCAGGAGGTGCTAAAACGATTATGATTAAAAAAAAAGTCCGCCTCTTCAAAGATGCCAATTTGCATATTAAACCCAGAATCGCCAACCCACAGGTTTCCACGCTACCCAAATCTAACTCCCTACTAAAAGAAAAACAAAAATTGTGATTTGGCAAAAGCAGTTGTTTGGAAACGAAATAATGGCACCTTCATTGCCAGACGGTATCGACGCTGTCGATTTAAACACCTCAGTGTTGACCTGTTGTTGTAAATAGTCCTAAAAGCCTTCATTTTAAGAAATTACAGTTTTGGGGAAATCCCCAATCCCCTCCCCTCCTTCAAAACAGAAGAAAAAAAAAAGAGGTATAGAGCTATGCACTTTAGCTGCCTTTACGTCCGCGCACAAACTTGAATGATACACATCTTACCCTCTCAGTCCTCAGGTCGTCAACTTGCTCCTGCAAAGACTCTGCACGTTCCTCAGCACTTCGCAGCTTTTCTTGTAGCATTTTCAATTCTTCCTGTAAATTTCTTGATCTTGAATCTCTTAAGGTAAACAGCCTGAAGAGATGTCGCATCTTATTGTTTTTAAAAAAACAGCAATTTTGTTATCAACATTCAGACGAAAAGCCTACTTCACTCGGAGACAGCTCCCGTTCGTCTGATGTAGCAGGTTCCATTAACCTACAAATGAAACGTTACTGCCAGAAGAAAATACAAAATTTGGTAAATACGAGACTTTCTACGTACTTCTTGTTTAAAATCTCATTCTCACTGCACTTCTCAGCAAGCTGTCTCTCAAGCTCTTGGATTTCGCCTTTTTTTGCTTCAGCTTCACTTCTAGCACTTTCCAGTTGACTTTCCAACCAACTGCTTCTAAATTATACTTATAACGATTAAAAGACAGCTCGTTGGCGATAGCATGCAGATGCAGTACTGAAACAACAGCTGACGACGGATGTTAACGAGCGACTGAGCTAAACAGCATGCAAAAGCTTTCCCGTCACCAAAAAACCGTATTGTCAGATTCATTTCCACGGAAGAATATAGAAACACGGAGGCGAAACACCTTGCCAAAATGCACAGGCCGCAAAAACGCTTCAAAGCTTGAGCCCGCAATGAACACCAGTACTTCAAACTTCAACTTAGCGTTAGTGTAACAACAAGGCCAGACAGATTAGATGGATTTATCTGTGTTAGTTGTACAGTATAAAGAGCACTCCAAATAAAACGATTCTTCGCCTTTGTCGTGCACTGTTAGACTAGAACTGCAGCCATTGAAAGAGTTCTGCACAGCAGTCACTCCGAACAAATCAACCATTAAGATAACGAAGGAGTATTAGTAAAACAGTAAATACTTTTGAAATAAAAAACATACCTTCCGTTTGCATCTGACAACCACTGCCGGTGTTCACCCAAGCTCCACTCTTTGTCATTACACGTACGATTCAGTTCATCGATTATGCGGTTCTTATTATTAATCTCATCACGTAACTCGTCAATAGCCTTATTTAAATCACTAGAAAAACTATTGTAAAAATCTATTTAAACAAAAGTTTGACGGAACAACAACTCCTCAAAGCAATTTTATGATTAAGCATCCAATTGTCTACAATGAGCACCTTTATGCTACTCTATTAGTTTCAGGGAGACCACCTACGTAAAAAATTGTTAACAAAGTGCTGAAGACAATATCAAATCTATTAAACCACCGTCATAGCTACTCAGCCCTCGCTACCTAAACAGAAAGTTCTTCACCTTAAACAAACTATTTCAATGACCGCCAAAAAACTGATGTCAAGTCACCCTTACGCAATGCGCAGCAATGCTTGCACTACTGCAGTCATACTGTAAACAGACTGTTCTTTTTAATTATTAAAACAGTCACCAGACGCCAAAAAAAAAACTAAGTCCATAAATTTCTGTCCCGACAACATAGTTTTTTTAAGAATGGCTTACGACCATTCTGGCTTAATTTTATTTTCTTACTGTAGTCAATGTAAGAATATGCAAACAAATGTCGACGACCTGACGCACAGATGCCCCATGCAAAAAATATTCACTCTTTGAGATGCATCTGACTAGTGCAAATACTACTAAAAAATTATTAAATGGATCAAGTGGTGAGCGTCGCTACATATTTACATCTCCCCTTTGTATTTTGGTTTCGGAGGACCTCACTCAAACTCCGTAGAAATACAGGTGGAGAGGGGATGGCACATTCCTTTACGGTATGAGGCATCAACTGGGGAGGTTAAGGTTGAGAAGCAGTTGGGAGGCACAGGGATGTGTGTTCGAAACGCTCTGACAAAATAACCGTTAAAAAAATTCTGCATCAGCAAACGTTTTTGCAGCAAGAATTGAAAGCAGAATACGCGTCCCCTCAAAGATGAAAAAATAAAAAAAAAAACAGATTGAGAGTCAGAAGCCACTAGCCTAAGAAACTGCTGGTATACATGACGGAGTCCGGATTATCTGTAAGCTATTCTTTCTATTTGTTATTTCCTTCCTTCAATGATTTGGTGTTTATCTTCTTCCATAACCCAAAACAGAGTGGATGACCGCGAAGCAAAAGAAATCTGGAAGGTGAGAAAATAACGGAGTAGATGTTCTCTCCTACCCCGTCCTTTCGCCCACAAAAGTCACATGGGCGGGAAAAGGAACAGCGACTGGCGAGAGAATGGTGACAGTCTTAGAACTAACGATACTTAGTCATAGTCCTTCGCTGCAGCTTTCTGCAACCATCGCATTAGTCGAAAATTCACTAATTTGACCCTAAGCATTCTTTATGACTTATGGTGACTTTCACCCGAAGTGAGTACATTTAGAATTTCATCTCCACACTTAAAATGCCAAACTCCTGTAAAATGGTTCAAAAGCTGTAAGAGAAACTAAAACAAGAACTGTGTGGTCAAAACTGCAGTCAATAATTTTTTGCATGAATTTCAGCATAATATAACTCTTCATCATGGAGCCCCCATCTGCCATCAAACACCGCTCACTTTTAACACCCGCAATGCCATATGATTAAAAGTGAAACTTAAGAACTTATGGTAACAGGTTCACTTTCAAGAAACATAAAGGAAAGATGAAACATTCAATTAGTTAACCTTATTTGCTCATCTCTTTCACTCAGCTGTAACACCAATTCGGCTGATTTCTTCTTCTCCTCTTCTAACAGTGTTCCAACTTCATCACACTTCTGATGTTCACTCTCAATCGAGATATCTAAGTTCTCCTGTCTCTTAACATCCTGTAAAAAACAATCACTATTGCAGATGGCAGTAGCAAAACTGTTAAATAAAGCGCTAACCGTTATACTCTTAAAATAAACGATTGTCTTCAGAGCAGCCCCACCTACAAGCTTAGTTCCATACAGAAGTGAAAATACAAAAAAAGTGGAGTTAGAAAGGCGCACATTTGAAAAAAATTAAAAAAACGCTTTTCTTTAAGCGTAGCCTTAAAAAAAAAAAATTACAAGAAATAGAAATCAAATTTACAATACAATTACTGATGTAAATTACTGAATCCCTTCTAGAACAAATGAAAATAAAGAGAAAAAAATGAGAAAGTCAAAACTTGCTGAACTTGAGCAGAATGCTTACTTCAAGACGCCATATCTGAAACACGTCACCTAACGTTACAGAAAGAAAAAAAGTAGCAAAGATGCCATTAGCAACTAAAAAAAAACAATAAATCTCTTTTTTTTTTTTTCGCCTCCAATATCTTTTACACTAGTTTTCTGCATTATTACGTCTTTAAAAATTGACGTCAAAAAACATCGTTTTTTGATCGGTACTGCAAAAATGAGTTGAACAATAAGCGCACCAACTTAAAGTTGCCTCCAGTGAAGGCTGACTGAAGGTACTCTAAAATACAGCACCAGTCTACTGCGGCTACTCCTCACAGAACTTCCTCAACAGACTACAGTATGCATATGCCTTTGGCATATGCTGGAACTCCTAAATTATGCTGGAACTC